AAATATATAAATATATGTATATAAATGTATTTCTTAGACATTATCGATAAAACGTATCTATGTATGAGACTGTATGTATCATGTATATGCGCACAAGCGCATATCGGGCATATTGTCAACATGAGCGTAAAATACTCATTTAGGCTTTTGTTTGCCCAAGATCTGCATTTTCAGCGAGCACAGCCTTCTACTTATATGCATCGATGTGTTTTCATGCCACAACAAGGACTGCCGTGGGTGTGATTCTGATGAAGAAAGACTCAGCATGAGACTGTAAATACTTGAAGAGGACTATATATAGTCGTTTGATTTGATTGAAACTTAGTGGAGCTCACAGGTTTTCACATACTTGAATGATGAAGCACATGACAATAGATATACTTGAAGAGAGTTTAAAAGTCCGTTCGATGTCCCGGCTGATCCTCTACAGGCGTATACTATGGTGTCACAATCACACATACATATATTAAAATGTACACCTTGTTGAACGCGCATACTTGGACGTGCAAGTGCACACACATCAACACCTACTCAACAGCAAAGGTTGCGAGTGCATCAAGACTCTCTGCGCTGGTCACGTCACAGGCCTTTCCAAGAATTTTTGACTGAGGGAATTCGTTGGTGAGCTCTGGTGAAAGTGGGACAAAATAAAGTCAGTTATGCAACAGTTGGTGGGATATATAGAAACGGAATACAGAGTGTCTGATAAAAGCAAACACGTAGCTACTCGGAAAAGAAATGGTCGTTACCTACGCTTTCCTAATTGCATATAAATATAATTTGTGCTGTAATTATTCAAGCCGGACGTCTAATCGTCAAATACTATTAAATCTATCCAACAAACTTCTTTAAGTCAATAGCTTACCGTACCATGTTCTCTCTCGCAGATACACAATTGTAGCGAGTCTCGCGAGTGCAAGTCTGAACGAAAGTACAAGTTATGTGTACAGCACAATCGTCCATGCAATTATAGAGCCAGCCTCTGTTTCCCGGTCGAACATAACTATGCAATGCACACTCATGCACTCAATCTGCAAACATTTTATATAAGTAATCACCCGTAGGTGCCACTCTCGAGATCATTCCCGTGTATATACAGTCGACCGGTCGAATATAACCGTTGCACACATTTGTTTGTCTATAAAATGTCTATATATTTCCTCACCTGTAACGCAGCTCTGTACTCTACTGTCTTCTCGGCTGCTGATAACCACATTGTGCTTTAGTTTAGCAAATTCTTTGGCCATGGCAAACCCTATGCCTTTAGTAGAACCAGTAATTAGTACATTGTGTTTGTGTAACGCGGTGTTGGATGTGTTTACCGAAAGTGTGTAATTGTATAATGTATACGCGATTTTGAATACGGTGGTCAAAACGAATACTATTATAAGGTAGTGTACATTGGAGGGTCCGAGATCAAAATACATTTTTTGATAATACTTGAATGGTTATTGACCATACATATGTCTACACACACAGACCACAGTGCTACAGTTGTGGGGTACTGTACACATGTGTATAGTCATATTTAAATATAAAGTACAAATATAAATACATAAACATGCAAACACAAAGCACAAAACAAATCCACATAAATATTTACTCACGATCTATTTGCTCAGCACTTTTACGATGACCGGCAAAAAAAGCCTACGACAGCATTTATAAATAGAGAACTGCGTGCAGAAACCATAAGATCTGTGGCATTTGTATTTTCCATTTGTTTTTATTAAAAAAAACATGAGTGAGCGCGTGTAAATAAATGCAATGCACTTGATAGACGTCAGTCGCAACACACAGTACATAGCATAGTACTCCCGAATGCTTCTTGCCTTGGTGAGCCTGTCCAGAACATTTGTCACCACACACACACGCATGAAAACTGTACAAAACACTAACGTGTGATAGTGTTGTGTCTATGTACTGTCACTCCCACACTCTGTTCTAGCCATTCTAATCCAAGCACAACACTTTCCTATAATCATATCGTATATACTATTGATACTCACCATAGTCACACACACAGAACAACCAACCAAGTATGACCTCCTTATAACCTAAACGGAAAACTTTCGTGTGAGTACATCACGCCCTTACAATGTCACTACCCCACTCTGTCATAGCCTTACTCGGCGCCACGGGTGTAGGTAAATCACAGCTTGCCATAGACCTGGCTCGGCAATTCAATGGGGAAGTGATTTCGTGTGACTCTATGCAGGTGTACAAAGGGCTTGATCGCACAACGAACAAGGTCACAACAAAGGAGACGGTGGGAGTGCCGCATCACATGCTGAGTTGTGTGGATAGAGAGGCGGCGTATACTGTCGTTCAGTATCGAGATGCTGTACTAGAACTGGTATGTATGTGGCGTGTATGAGTTTGTGTATATATGAGCGGTAGGTATGAGCGTATGTGCATGTGTGTGGTTTGAAGGAGTGTAGGGGTGTAGAAAAGGCTCGATCTCACGATGAACAGGGTCTCCGTGTGTGTAGCGGTTGTATTTAAATACATGTGTTATCTTGTTCTTGAGGTGGTTGTTGTTCGTTTATTCACACACACACACACACACAC